CGGCATTGTCCACCGTATCCCCCAATGACGTCATCCAAGGGCGACAACTTGAATACGGTCTTAAATGAAAGGGTCTATAGAACCTACTCATTCATTATTCTCTGTTATGTTTCTTTTCTTTCAATGAACGACCAGATTGAATAAATACAGGCTCATCTGGATGTAAGCTGGTCGCAATCACCTTCCGTTATGTTTGACGCGGTTCAAATATTAAGATTTCCTATATATATTATTGTAAACATATTACACTAGAAAATTAAAAAAATTGAAATTCTTACTAATAGTGAACATGCATTCAAAAGTTAAAATTTTCAGTCTTTTTTATTGAAAAACAATTACAGCTTACTCATTATGCTCTGTTTCTAGTTTCTTGTATTTAAACAAATTATGCTGTTGAATTCTTTAACTAATTTGCTCATACTTTGCAGTAAGAATTTGCCAACACAGTTCAAATGAAGCTCTCTGAAGTACTTAGTATAATTATTTTCCTGGAACAAGAATACACCATGGTTCTGTTTGCAGTTAGAAGTGATGTTCTTTTCTTTTATTACAGTCTGTAGCATTTATGGAAAACAATATCATTTAATTAATAATAATTGACAATACTCTTGTTTGTTTTTCAGCAGCATTTGTAAAGTTAATTAAGTCTGAATATCACACCATCCATTGCTTTTGATTTTCTTGTGACCAGGAACTGGCATTTTTTTTTTATCTTTTATTTAAAACATTAAGAACATTTGCACAAAGACCATTTGCATATAATACTTGTACAGTTAGTGCATTTAACATATCAAATACATGTATGATATTATATAAGAATTACAGTTTAGAAAAACGTATACATAGCTGCAGGGGGTTATTTGAAAGACCCTGATAGCTGTAATAAACTATTACAACATAATTTTACTCATCTTTTAACATGTCTTACAATATTAAAAGTTTGTTGTAAAGTGTTTAATTAAATGAGAATTATATTTCTTATTATATTATTATAGTTTCATATTGTTAAGTTCGTGTAGAAAGATTCCATCAATGTTTATAGTATCGGCGCGTTGGTTACCCATCATATAAGCTTTGTATATACTTAAACCAATAATTGTAAAGATCAAATTAATTTGCCAAAGATTTGATTCCTGCGTATTTTGGAAACTATAACCTAGTACAATATTTTTGAGATTGAAAATATGTTTACAGATTCCTAGCGACTTAAAAGTTTCAATAATTCTTTTTCAGAAAGCATCTAGTGATTGAAAATGAATAAAGAAATGTTCTGTGCTATCAGAACAATTGCATAAAAACGCATTTCGGACAATTTTTAATTTCCATATGTACAAGTTATCCATTGTCGGTATTATGTTATGAATGAGTTTATAACGGAACTGTATATATCTATTGTCAATGCTTGATTTTATATTCAGATATATTTTATTCTACGGAATGTAATGTTCAAATAAAATTTCCCATAGGCGATGAATGTATGGTTTTTCCGCTTTATTGTTTCTAAGTATGATATAAATCTCTTTTTCGATTCTTTTAAAAGTAAAGGAGATAAGTCAGTTTTAACCCTAGTTTTGATTGATTCGTCAGATTTTGAGATGAATTTCCAGAGTTGCGGTATAACTTTACGTAGCCTATAAATTTCGGATACCCAATTTGATTTATTTCTGAGTTTTGAAAGTATAAGATGTTAACTGATATCGCCATTTGCATCGATAATATCATTTACAAAAATTATGTCAGATTTATCCAAATATGAAAATATAAAGATTTTTTATTTCTACAACGTGTGTCATTTTGTGCCAAAAAAGACGTCTAAAGCTGTTACTTTTTCGCTCCATTTTATGTTAGTAAATTCTAAATTATCAAAGCTGTTTCCTAATCTAACACCTTCTTTCATGTGCAAATTTTGTTGTAGACCAGAATGTTTACAAAAAAATCCAACAGTTGATCATGCTTTTTGTATGTCTTCTTTGCTTTTTTAAGAACATTGCAGTATCGTCGGCTAGTTGTGTCATTTTAAGAATAAAAGTTTCATTGTTAATTTTTATTGAGATTCCGTTAATGTCATTATTTTCTCGAATTGAATTAGCTAGGACCTCGGCGAATTGAATTAGCTAGGACCTCGGCAACGATGATAAAAAGCACCGAAAAAATTCCGCATCCCTTACTGAGACCACGTGATAGAGAGAAGTTTTTTTTATATCAAACCATTGTTTAATATACATGACGAGATATCTTTGTTAAGATCCAGAGAATAAACATTGGTTTAAAGTGAAACTTTTCAATGGTTTTAACTAGAAAGTCAAACTCGATCGTATCGAAAGCCTTTCTAAAATCTAAAAACAAAAGTTTTCCATCAATGTTATGTTTTCCGCAAAAGTCAATAACGTCTGATATTTGTCGTATGTTATTACCAATAAAACAATTCTTTATGTAACCTTGTTGATCGCTGTCTATAATTTTCGGAAGTATTTTTTGTAACCTTATCGCGAGTACTCGAGTTAAAATTTTGTAGTCGTTATTAAGCAACGATATTTGACGCCAGTTTTCAATATTGTCTGGGTCTCCTTTTTGTACAATAGTGAAATAACACCGATTTTCTGAGAAGCTGAAAGTTCGTTTCTTTGTGTATTTCGTTATAACAATTTACTAATAAAAATTTTATGTGATGCCAGAATTTACGTAAGTCCGTCATTACCTGGACTTTTGTTGGTTTTCATACTAAGATGTGCGCTTTCGCATTCATTTATATTTATTAAACATTCTAAGTCTTCCGAGTCTTTGTCTTTTAGCGTTTTCTTAAAAACAATGTTATCGAAAAAATCCCCTTAATTCTCGCTGTCTTCATTTTTTTTTGTATATAAAGTTTGGTAAAATTTTACCTCTTCGTTCATTACATCTTCAAAGTTGGTTATTTGTTTTCCGTCAATTTTTAACGAGTTGAGAGCTTTTTTCGTTTGTTTCGATTTTTTTAACGAATGTAAATAATTCGTATTTTTCTCACCTTCATCGATGAGCTGTACACGTGAGCGTATTTTTGCACCGTTTGCTTTATTTATATATATCGTCTCGATTTCGATTTTTAAATCTTTTATTTGTTTGAGAATTATGCGTATGAAATTCTTCGTATAGCTGCGAAAGTCTTTCTTCTAACTCGTTAATCGGTTTCTATTATGTTTAGCTTTCAGTTTTGAGAAATAAATACTTTTTTCTTTAATACTGTTTTTTTAATATTTCCCACATTGTCCTATGATCAATGTCATGAGATTTGAATTCATTTTGAACAGAACTTATGGTATTTATGATATGATTTTTATATTCATTATCTTCTAAATGAGAATTATTCAACTTCCAATAACCTGGACCACGGTGACTAGAAATATTTACTTTTAGACTAATACCTAAGTGGTCAGTGTACATTATTTGTGCAGGTCTTATGTCGTAGCTGACGATTAAACATGTTAAAGGTGACATACTTCTTTCAATAAGCCAAACATCAATGCGACTTTTTTCCGCGCATTTAGTCCGTTTCCAAGTAAATTGTATTATATTTATATTTTTAAGCTTCCATATATCGCATAGACTATGTGAATGTATTAGATTTTTAAGCTTTTCTGATGTTTTAGTGCGCGAGTTGGAATGAGTATACCTGTCTGTTTCGTTGAGTTCATCATTGAAGTCACCTCCCATTATTTTTAAGCCTAATGATTCTTCTTCAATCTTATTGTTAATAAGTTCGAAAAAGTTATTTCTACAACGTGTGTCATTTGGTGCGTATATGTTAACAAAAGTGAAACTGTTCCCGAAAAGTCAATATTTAAAAGCACAAATCTCCCAGAACTTATAAAGTGCAACATTTTGAGTGAGTCGTAGGTCCAAATGCATTGTAAAAGTGATAATCTTTAAAATCTGTTTTAACATCTTCCAAAATATCATTTGTAAAGTGAGTTTCTTGGAGAAATGAGATATCTAATTTTTGTTGATTTACCCATTCTAAAAACCGTACACGTTTGGGCTTCGCACGTAATCCCTGTACATTTAGGGAACCAATATAAAGTTTATAAACAGACATATTGAGAAATGGATTGACTTATTAAATTAAAACACGTAAAATATATCTCATAACTTGACATGTACAATGTGTAAGCTTTTGATAAACGCATAATTCTTGAAGTCTTGACGAAATCGCGAAACAAAAGGTTTTGAAAATGCAATATCAAAATGTAGCTTTCTTGTAATGCCCCATATGTTATGTTATATCGGATTTGGAAGCAATTAGATTGGAGCATAGAACGAAAGTAGAAAGATATTTATACCCAAAGGGGCAGCATTGTTCAATTATCTTTTCTGAACTGACAAACATTTTCTTCAGATATCTATCATTTCCTACATACAAATAATTCATTATCAGCTGATTGGACAAATAGAAAATGCGCCGTACGTTATCATTGATATTTTTTCGCGCCATACGTCATCATTTTCAGAAAATGCCCGATATTAATATTAACAGACGTAAATCTAGAAAGAATGGGCATGGATGCTTAGATGACGACATATTACAACTTTTTTAAGTCAGTGGTTTCAGTTAATATACATGTATGTAAAAGAAACCGTGAATTTTAGAGAAGAAGCCGTACGTTATCACGATCAAACCGGTGGACAATTCTCTCGCTTTGATTCTTGTGACGCGCATTTCAAAAGAAGTACGGGACGAAACATCATGAAATAAAATCATGTGTGCCCGAAAAAATGTGGAGAAGGTTACTATATATACCTTTACACAAGAACATTGCGAATTTCAGAGAGGAAAAGGAAAAAAATACTTTTCGGCTGCATCCGCCATCTTGTTTGTTTGGGTAACGAACGGCGTGATTCTCCCCCTTAAGATAAGCAAAACTACAATAACATTTTGAGTACCATTTTATTACTTGATAATAATAATTTTTGTCGTTCGTTCCCTTTATAACTTAACGTAAGTGAAATATTTATGAAGAACTTACCAGCATTCCAAAACTACCTCATGTTTTAGCTCTGTATACAGGTTATGTTTGTCAACCGCTGGCAAGTTTTCTAACACATTTAACATTCTGGTGTTTGTCTCTGGCGTTTCTAAAATAAAAATATTTCTACATAAGCAGATTTGCTGTTTTAAGTGTCTTTAAAAACTATGATACTAATGATTATTCACCTATTGTATTTACGAATGTATTCACAAATGTACATAAATGCGCCGTCGGTGCATCAGTGGTCAAGTGGTAAAGATTATTGACTTCAAATAACTTCCCTCTCACCTCAGTGGGTTCAAATCAGATATTTTGGATTCTTCCATGTAAGGAAATTATCCAGCTAGCTTAACAAGCTAAACAAAACTATATTTTGTTCTTGGCAATCGCGTGTTCCTGATGCAAGAAATTATTTAAAGACGAATATATCACATGATAGTCTACATATTATTATTAAAATGATTTTTTATAAATTTTAAATATTGTGTGTACCGGATAAATAATTGAATTTTGAAAAATATCAAACTTATTTCCATAATGTTTATTATTATGAAGAAGTAAACAATGAAAATTGGAATATATAAACATTTGTGTTCCTAATGAAAAAAGCTACAATTCTTACAAAACCTACCTTTTTATGAAATTGTTTTATAATAAAAATTAACAACGGGGTAATTTACCAAAGTACGCTCATTAGATGACAAAATGGTACAACGTTCTCTTTGGTAATGAGTTTAACGATGTTTAAGAAGTCAACGCCAATTTGAACTTGACCTTTGACCATTTAACCTTAAAATCGATCAGAAGTAATGACTAACTTCCGTGTCCAATCAAAGGACTGTAAAACCCATTTCGTCTTTAGAAAAATGTCGACATTGAAGAAAAGCCTATGACCCATTAGTGCCCGTCCCTCGGGGATGTAAACAATATGGAATGAGATGCCTTTGATGATGTTTCGTGCCAAATATCTATGTTCTAGCCACAAGGGCCTTATGGAAAGATATTTTTCATGTTTTTATTTTAAATTATTGAAACAAAGCCAATAACCTATGCGGTAGCGCAAAGTTTGTAGTCATAGTCGTATTTCAAGCAATCTTGGTAAATGTCAATATGATAATACTTAATGCAAAATATCAAAGTTCTAGCCATTGTGGTCCCAGAGAACAAGTTTTTCGAAGGCTTTTGGTCTATCGACACTATATAAAAACACATGACCCCTAAGGTGGGATCAATTTTGACGAGAGATATTGTTTTAAGAAATTGTAGACAACAAACAACGCACGTCTCTCAATACAACGTGGTAGAAAAGATAAAATAAACATCAGTAAAGTCATTTTATTGATATTACCTTTAAGAACCGAGAAATACATACCAACCAGTCCTGTAGCAGATGGTATTTCTGCGTTTCCATTGTCTGACACTATTGTATGGAACTTCCCATGGCATGACACGAACATTGTCAAGTACTTGAAGCCTATTGGACCATCTCTTTCGAATAACGGCTGATAGTAAACCCATTGCATTTTTCCATTCTGGTTTTTGCTAAGGATATATATAGGTGTATGTATGCTAGTCGCTACAGCATAAATACATAGATCAGCATATGACTGGCATGTTTTAATGTCGTTACAATCATTTACCACACTCTTATAGAATTTCTTCAAAACCTTTGTTTGGTCTTTGTTTCTTTTCTGTCCAGTTGCCTTAGCTGCTTTTGGAATATTTCCACAAAGTAATGGCAAGTGGGGGATAAACTGTTCCGCATACTTAGACAGTATATCTATAACTGCCTTATGAAGGTAGTTTTTGTCAGTGCATTTTTGTAAAGTATTCACATTTATTGTTCTGCCATTTACATTGACAGCTTTGCATCCGTTTTGACCTTGGGCTTTCAAAGCCGATTTGACACCATCTGCAATACACTCAAACATAGACAAACCATTGCTTTTAACAATTCTACTTTGATTTTCGCAAATGAGTGTTTGTTTAACTCTTTCAAGCTCCATATAATCACGACCTGACATGTCAAAGTTAGTCGCCATATTTCTCAACAAAGTTGTTTCATCTGTTGATAGATATCCTGAAAAATGATATATTAGATCATCAATGTATATTGTTTTGTATACTTACAAAGTAATTGTTCTCGCTCTTTCCATAGCATTTCCATAGTTAATGTGTTTGCTTCTCAATCAAGTGATTGTGGGTTCAAGTCTTGTCTGGAGTACATCCATGTTCTCTCATTTGTCCATGTTATAAAGAAATTCTCTGAGCTCAACTTAGAATAAGGATATTTGATTGGACAGAAACAGTTCAGAATTGCCACCTTCCATTACTTCACAAAAGCTTTTTAATTTTCCATGATAAACAAATGGTGTTTACATTTGTTATTTTACAATATTAAACTATATCGTTCAAGAAATAGAAATTATCTTTTGTAAACCCTATTTTAGTAAATTCTCCTGGAACTGTGAGATCATGTTTTTTCTGTGCATACATAAATTATGCACTTTTTATGTGTTATTCTACAATACATTGCAACTTTGAAAGGTCTTCAAATATATTTGGACCGTTCCATTTATCATTGCCTTATAAGTGTTAATGATATACGTGTATGTTAGACTTATGCCCATTAACCCAATAAAATTATAATCAAAGATATTATTAAAACAAAGGAACATTTTGTCTCCTGATGCGTGTATGTTCAAAACATTGAGAGAACAAACTGCTCTTTATCAGTCATGCAATTTAAAGTTTTAAAAACAGTAACATAATGCAAACTCACCGAATTCATTCCATTTCCTTATGTACGGTTCTAAGAATGTCCCTTTACGAAGTTTAATTAAAACCTGAAATAAAAGAAACGTTCATTGAATACAGTTACTATAAATGAAAAAAGCCACAACATTTCTTACAAACGAAACACTCTTTAGATATAAAACATCTTTGCTCGGTTTGTAGGCCTTAATAAACGTTATTTGTGTGTACAAGTTATTACCTTGAAGATGCAAATAGTACTTATCAACTGTTTGGAAGTTTTAGGTCTGCCACTATCATTACATTATAGACTATTCGTGACAAATCAATTTTTGTTCAAATAGGGATACAAACAAGTTCTAAACGCAGCGTTAGGTTGTGTTTTGTCTTTATTGGTCGTTATTGATCGCAAGGTTGAGATTTTGCCAAAAAACGCAAATAAATACTTTGTCCGAATCACACTGCATTTTACCTGAATGTTCAAAAACCTGCGAGTTTATACTTCTAAAACTTATCATGCAATTTTAAAAGTATTGAAGGCAATACAAAAGGCCCTACCAATTAGAACCCACAAAAGGTATGTCAGTAACGTCTCTAAAAAATGAGTCAGAATATATTTGTTTTTTTTCCACTATTTTAAGTCTATTTGTTGTCATAGCAATATAGGAACGCTTTTCTTAAATGGCAGTCACAATAAGTAACAAAGTTTCAAAAACTTACTTTAAAAGGGCCATAATGTTTAAAATTTTGGCGTCATTATAATTTCCTTTTCATAATTATTAAATAAATCAAGTACTTCAAGTTATAAGGCAATGACAAAAAGTTAAAAAGCGACAAACCTTTAAAAATAGCATAGCTTTCAGAATAATGTTCTTTATCTCTAAACTGTGCTTTGCCATGACAAACAAGCATTCAAAAATTCATTTTAGTAATTATGCTCCACGAAGGTGAGTATATAGTCGCCGCTTTGTCCGTCTGGCCGGACATAACTTTGAAACAAAAAGAGGTATCAACATGAAATGTTGTAGGTAGATAGATCTCATTGGGTAGGTGAGCAGTGCAAAAAAAAGAAACGTAACCCTTCTTTGCCTAATTTTTGGAGTTATCACCATATTTTCATTTTTACACTTCAAATTTGTTCGGGGTATAACTAAAAAATTATAAGAGATATCAACATGAAACTTTGTAGATAGACAGATCTCATTGCTAACTAATGTCCCTTGTCTTACAACTGCAATGTTCATGATAATAAAGCATTCTTGGTTACATATTGACTCAATCATGTTTTTTTGTTTTAGGTTATTAGCTTTATTAAAGTTTTTGCAACAACAACGCCCAGCAATCAATATAGCTTCACTTTTTTTCGAATGAGACGAGCTAAAAATGATGTACTGTACATAAACACCATCTATCCGTAGTTTGAAATTCGTTAAAGTTTCAGTTATGTGTGAGTTATCACAATAATTTGGTAATTTAACCATATTTAACATTTGTAGGAAAAAAGAGGTACATAGTTTCCTTACTGGCATCTTTCCATATTTCCAGTTTCATAAAATTATTTTAGTCCTATTTGAGTATCAACTTTTACAGACGGACGGACGGACTGACCGACGGACAGATTGATGGAAGAAAACATTATAGTATCCTCGGGTTAAACCCGAGAAGGACTAAAAATGGTACTCATCATTCAACTATAAGAAAAGGCATTACTCCCCTGACAAAGTCACATCGACATTGTGTCTATAACGATTATATTATGAAATGTTAAATTAACTTAAGAATTTTTCTTCCTCATTTTAATCTACACAACTAATATATTCGAATATGGTTTGTGTGTGAACAGTTGAATCCATACTGAACAGTTGAATCCATACAGTTATCTATAAATTCTTTGACCCGCTGGCGTAATGCAAATGAACAGTCCAAGGCCCCTAAGCAGTTTCAAGAATTTATTCAAATTCAAGTATGTTTATGCCACCGACGCGAAAATAATTGGCAGTGCTAACTAAATGAAAAATTAAAAGGTATCAGAGGTTATTCAGACTGCGTTTGACACAATGGCGTCAGAAGAAAAATTAAGAAATAACGCAATTTATATCAAACAGTATTGAATTGTTGTTTTTTGTACATGTATGAATACCAAAAATATTATGTAATTATACAATTTCAACTTGGTGTTAAGAAGCATTTCATCATTGTATGCAATACAACAGTTACATGAAAATACGGAAAAAACATCATTATATGCACGTGCGTACACATCAATACTCTACAATATTTATACATTTTCGCTCTTTAAAAGTCTGCTGACAGGGCCAGTGGCTAAGCGTCATAATTTATATTCACGTACCAAAAGATGCTATTGCAGTCCTTAAATGTATTTAATGGTTTGCAAGAGTGATAATTATTAACAATTCATTGATGTTCCATTTCTACCAATTTATCGCTTTTTTAATTATCACGATTACACTTTATTTATATTTACATCTATCACCACTATACCCATATTGATAATGCAGTCATTACTCACTCATCAGAATGACATTATAAATTTAGATTCAAACGCACGCATCCTATGTTTAGAATTCACTACAATAATGTAAAATTATTGTATTTTACATTGTCTCTCTTATTAAGTTTCCAATGTTCATTCATTGGATTTCCGTTTAGAATAGATAAATACAGAATCCCTAAAGAAAGCCCAACACGGCAAAATTGAAAATGTTGCAGGCTCGGTTTGATTGAGCCTGTTCATGGACGGTACTGGAAAGTGCAAGTTACCGTCCACGCCCCCTAGCACCGGCTTAAGCAGAATTCAACATTTAAACGTGAAATAGTAAAACGTTTAACTCACGATCAAATTCTAGTACATGTTGTTCCCGTTTATCTGAATCCAGCATAGACATAATATATAATTTCTCGTAACTTTCTATTATGCACTACAATGTTCAGGGCATTAAGCATAAACTAGACACGCCCTTTGCCGAAAATTAGGACTTTGATATCGTTTCTTTCTCTGACACGTGTATAAATAGTTATACACCAAACTTGACAAAGACAAAAATCAACAACTTAGAGAACTAGAAGTAAATACAAATTGGCACCAATTTAAAGATCCAAGCATAGATATACAGACACACAAAATTACAGAATCACATAAATCATAATAGATGTTTCAAAAATATGTATTCCTAACATTGATGTCACCGTTATACCAAATAGCCTACCCTGCTTTCCCCCCTAACTTAACACAACTTATCAGACAAAGACGACGAAGGTATTACAAAAAGCCAAGCGTACCAATACTGAACATGATTGGCTGCGATAAGTGTGACACTTTGCAACAACATTGTTTCAAAAATAGAAAATTCTCAAGCTTATCATATACATACGCTTGAAAAAAAAATCTAAAGACATCACAGCAAAACTCAAAAACATAGTGGTACTGTCTGAAATCAGACAAAATGACAAAAGCGGAATACTGGACGACTTTTATTAGAGATAAACTCTGGCAGTTTTCCAGCACAGTGAACCTTCTACCTCAAACATGGAATCCTAGACTATAATACCAGATGAAAATTCTCTAGTTCTTTGTGGTGTTGCGCGGGAAGGTAAAACGGAGAAATTCTGTTTTACTACATCTTTATTTACTAACTTCTCTAAAATGTAAGTAAACCCCAAAACTGTTTTGTCAACTGGCTGTTAATCTACAGGATATGGCATACAGGCTTCTTGTTTATACATAAATGTATGGCATTCAAGCTTTCTTGAATGGTTCTCATCCTATCTTTTTGGCCGCAGGCAATGTTGTTATACCTAGTGCACATTCTAAATGGAGCACTTTTAAAGCGGGAGTACAACAAGGATCCATCTTGGGACCTCTTTTGTTGTTAACGTATATTTATGACATTGTTTTTGATATACAAGCCAATATTCGCCTATTGTCTAACAACACGAGTCTATATTAATAGTAGATGTTCATACCTCTGCTGATAGAACTCGTATTTCTGACCTCTCTGCTATCTCCCAGTGGACCAAAACCCAGTTCAATTCGAAAAAAAAAAAAACAGAAAAAAACATAGAATCTCTTATCTTGACTTTCAAAATTGGCAATCAAGTCCATCCAACTTTAGGTATGAATGGGGAGATTAATCAAGAAGTAATACATCATAAACATCTTGGTGTACATTAAGTCTTCTTTTTCGATCTCAGATAAACTATATAACTGAAAAGGCCTACAAGCGAAGCATATCAATGTAATGCAAAAGTTTAAATAAGTCTTGGTTGTCATTCACCGGAAAAATATATGTATTTTATTTGTCTACTTTTACAATACGATGATGTAAACTTTGAAAACTGTACAACCCACGGATAGGAAACAATCGAAAAGGTGGCAGTTCGTATTGTATCGGGTGCAACTAAACTTGTGTCAATTGCTAAAGTTTTGTCCGAGGTAGGGTGGGAATCAATCCCTTGAATCACGTCGAAACCAAAACAAACTTTTTCTGTACAAAATCTGCTGTGTATTGTATTATTTAAACAACTGGTTTAGCTCTTAAATTTGATTTGCAAATCATGGTCATGCAACTACATAATTAGTTAAAGAATTAGTTGGTCATGGTCATGCAACTACATAATTAGTTAGAGAATTAGTTGGTAGAGTCTATTAATTTTTATTTAGGGGGTAAGTCATACACAAATTTACAATTTATATGCATTTATTATTTTGCAATGATTTTTTTATTATTTTAAATGTTCTGGGATTGGTTAATCATTTGTTTTGTAAATAAAATTATTAGATGTCCGATTAAAGGCATCATTTCAAAGAAAATGAAATTAGTTCACACCGTCATATGTATTGATCACGAGATTCAGCCAATGAAAAAAACATCAACACACCGTCATAGTCAGACAGAGAAAAAGTTTGCAAATAGTAAATCGAAAATCTGTATGTAGCAAACTTAAGAATAATTATTGCAATTTTAAATTTCATATCATATTTTGGCTGAAGAAACTGTCCGAGGAGGGCCAGGCATTTTCGTAACGTAAGATGGCTGTCGTTACTATAACACGTGATTATCTTGAAGCTCCA